AATAAAATAGAATTACATTTGAAGGGTTATCTTGTTGTTTGTGTTTAAACTAAAGGGCTAAATAACCTTTTCAGGGAGTGCGACAATGTAATCTCAACGCTCTCAGTTCTCTATTCTCCTTATCTATATATTAGTTCTGCTTTTGCCTAATTAAAAAATACAATAACAAAATAAATACCAACCTAATCCATCTTAGACACATCTGAATATCTTGGTAATGTTTGTTTGCTCCTAACTGTGAGCACCACAAAGCACAATAAAATGAAAAGCTACAGAGGTCTGTCATTACTAGAACATAATGATGCATCATTTAACCTATCTGAGCACCTGACAAACACCATATTCCTACATGACACCCACCATTTAGTCCCTGGAATTTGTAGAGCAAGTAGAAGCTTGCATACTTGTTGAATCGACTCACTATGTAGGGAACAGAGGATAACATTTACAACCTTTAAAAATCATGATGGCAATAGTATCTACTACGTCTCTTCCCTCATCTGTTCCCATAGATGTTCTTGACAGTGGAAAAAAACAAAAGTAATTGTCTGCTTGAAGCCGCCAGGCTGTAGTAAAGAATATCACTCATAGCTGAATTTTAAAGGTAGGTAGAATTATTCATTAAGCATCAATTAAGCAGAATCATCAAATACACTCCTCACAGCAGACACCTTTGTGGCCATAGGGGTTCTGACAATCAATTAGCAAAGGAGGCATATGCTACAGTAATAGAGGATTTGCTCATGGGTCACTTTTAATGAAAGGTCAGCTATAATAAGGGTGTCGGCAAATGGGAAACAAGTATGAAGCAATTAGACATTACTTTACTCAGCAGCATCAGAATGAAGAGCAAGATATTAAAAAGGCAAGGTATTAGAAGTGGTATAATAAGCTATGTTGAAAATAAATAGAAGATAATTTACAAAAGGGTTGTGGTCAATAAACTCTTGGTAAATTCATATGCTGTTATTTATTTGTATTGCAGTTACACTAAAATAAACATGGTGCTTTGTGAATATAGAATTGTTTCTAAATTGTATTACATTACTTATTTTTTAATGCATGAACTACAGCTACAGCCATATGTTTACTGCATTTTGAGGACAGGTCTTGGGAAATAAAATGCAAAAAAAAATGATTAAAAAGTAAATAAAACATATACAGGGTTATTCACTAAAGGGTGACGGGTTTAGAGAAGGCAGGAGAAGTGAACAATCTAGGACAATATAGCTGATTTGGAAATATTCTCCTATTCAGCTATCCAAACTCTTCACCCTTTTGTGAATACACCTGTTAGTAAAGCAGAGCAAAGAGCTGCCTAGAGATTGTTTCTGATTGTTGTTATATGGTAATTTGCACTTTGTACATTACAGTTGCTCATTACACTGCCTTACAATAAAACCCCAACACTATCCAGTCAACAGCAAACTAAAAACTGTCAACAATATAGAAAACTAGCATTATACAACAAAGAGTTAATATTCATAAAGTGGACCTTTACCCCCTTTTACAAAAAACCACAGCAGCATGCAGCTCTGCATGCTGATTTAAAATCATGTTACATTCATTAGTTAAACAAACTTGTCTTTTATTTACTTTCAAAAAGAGTTCATCCACTTCCTGGTCCAGTTCTTGCACAAATGATGTAATGTGCCAAAGCGTTGCATCTTGGGAAGGTTACATCAGCAGAGCATAGTTGGGAAGTCTCATCTGTAATCTCATGAGATCTCAGGGAAAAGCATTTTCCTCCCCTGAGATGATGTGCATGGTCACATGTCTAGTCACATGTGCTAGAGTTCAAGGAAGTAAATGGAGGTCTAGTAATCTGCCCTTAGTTAACATGGCCACTCTCAGAGAACTAGGGAAGAAGAGAGAAATAAGGTATGCAAAGAATACAAAGCCGGCAATTATCTAGAATTATCTGTTTGTAGATTGTCATTACGAAACATTTCCAAAGGTGTGTTTGTTTTTACTTGAAAGATAAGGGTAAAGGTCTGCTTTAAGTGCTATAACCTATTGGAATTTACCTTATGAGAATTTACCCTGCCAAGACCATTATAGATGGATTGTAATTGCTTATTATAAATATGCACTTATGAATTAGCATCTAGTAAGAAAATGTTTTTTGGAAAAATGCCGTAAACCAACTGAGAAAATGTAAAACAAAAGAATACAGAATTATGCCACATCACATAGACACATGACAGGATAATAAAAAAAATGTTACACTTTAAAATAGAGCTGCAGCTAACGATTATTTTCAAAATCAATTAGTTAGCCGATTATTACGTTCGATTAATCGGTTAATCGGATAAACAATAAAATAAAGTTTAAAAAATGGCTCCAGTGATGGACTACTAGTTTCTATTAAGATTGTAGTCCATCACAGGAGCAAGCTTGGAGCGGTGGAAGTAAAAAAAAGTGTGGTGTGCAATATAGTGAAATGGAAAGTGTAAATGTATACAGCAATCAATGCAGACTGGCACCGGCTATAGAGGACTACAAATCCCAGCAATAGTACATAATACAGCGCAATGCCGAATATCACCAGCTATAGAGGAATACAACAAATCCCAGCAATAGTACATTATAGCTGGCGGTATTCCGCATTGCGCTGTATAATGTACTATTGCTGGGTTTTGTAGTCTTCTATACAGTGCAGTGCAGAATATCACCAACTATAAAGGAGTACAACAAATCCCAGCAATACATTATACATACAGTGTATAATGTATTGCTGGGATTTGTATTCCTATGTATACTATACAGCACAATGTACCATCAGCTATAGAGGAATACAAATCCCAGCAATACATTATAGAGCACCATGTGGGGGGGGAGGGTTAGGCTTAGCTGAGGGACCTGTCTATCGGCGGCTGTCATCCCCCCACACCTGCTCCTCCCTACTACATCTCCCCGCGTCCCTGTGCCGATCGTGGATGTGGACGGGCGGTGAGTGTGAAACGGGAAGGAGGTGCGGCGTGTAGAGCGTGGATGCGGGCGGGTCTGGCAGCGGTGCGCAGCGTTTGTGGAGCCGTGAACAGGACCAACTGTTTGGAAGCCGATTAATCGATTATTGAAAAAGTTGACAACTTTTTCAATAATCGATTATAATCGATTATGTCGATTAGTTGTTGCAGCCCTACTTTAAAATGTAAAACCTAAATGTGCAAAACAGCAAATTTGTCCATATTATACCAGAACATATAAATGTTTGGAACTGAAATGTTTTCATGGCCTCTATCCATTTCTTTTACTTGGATTTAAGAGGTGCTGTGTCACCAGGGAATTGTTCTCTTTGTGTACAAGGCAAAAAAAAATGTTTCACAGCAAGAGCTGCTTTTAACTATCACAGGCGGTCCTATAGTCGAATAATGCTTTGGTTTGCTGGAAGATAAAATTGCTCTGCAAGTGCTCCTGTGACTAAGAAGGCAAAGCGCTATTACAGCTATAGTGCAAGACTTGAGACATGGCCCCACTGCTTTATTTCTTCCCATGGCCTTCATTACTTCTCCTTGCTGCCAATATTTCACCAGCATTTCTGTTTTGTCTGTTCTCCTTTAGTTCTTCTTGAGAGATTTGTTGAACTGCTTGAAGAATTACAGTTTCTACAATCTGTTTACTGGCATTTTGCAGCTTTACTTCTTCTGGATCTTTCCCAAGATTCTCTCCTAGGGCATAAATTCTGACAATGTAACAGGTGCAAAAAATAAATGAATATTGTTTTTTTCCTGCATTTTTCCTCTTTCCATTATCTGTTTTCTGAAAACTGAAATGAGATTGCTGGTTCTAGATGACTTCACTTACTGCAATTCACTGTTATGCTTTACCTTACCTAATTCAATAAACCAGATAATATTCCAGCTATACATCAATCTGCAATATTATTATAGCTTACAATTTTGACAAGTGAAGAGTATGTTAAACCCACATTTAAAATATACATCCCAGATTATTACATTAATTGCATTTCAAGTTAATATGACATTACTTTACAAATAATCACAGTAATCAAACAACCATTTCCATAGAATTTTCTAATGTACATGTATTAATAATGTTGTAACTATTATTACTCCTGAGTTGGAAAATAAAAGAATACCCAATAAAACCTGTGTCAGCTATTTTGTGTGAAAGCACTGTTAAGTGATATTTTTTTGCAAATGGAAGCTGAAGGAGTTGCAACACTTCAAATATATCAGAATATGTAAAGAATATGTAAAGCCCCCAACCCCTTGCATGCAGGTTCCTGGGTTTAACTTCAGCTCTGATCCATTAATCTTACCACCAGCATGCACACTCTTCATTTTGTGCTGCAGGCCCATTCATTTCTTTGTGTAGCCATACCCATGGTAGCTCCCGGTAACCACTAAGAGTACAGCATAGGAATGAACAGGTGACGGCACAGTATTTGCAGAACGAGGGCGAGCCAGCCAAGTTCATGTTTTATGATTTTCCACTTAGTTCACTCTACGAACGACACTGTATAATTGAATGAAAATTACACTGTTCTTTTCAATAGGCAGTCACCATTGACGAAGAGCTGGGAAAAATAGGCAAGATAGAGCTTGTCAGAGTATCACCTAGAGTACAGATCTGCAGGGAACACATTTACCCTCAGCAATGCTGGATCACTAGATCTAAATGCAGACTAAAAATTACTTCATTTGTTTATGATGCTATCATGCATGAAAGTAGGGTTGCCACCCGTCCAGGAATGACCCGGACAGTCCGGGTTTGGAATCCTGTGCCTGGGTGCAAGCCTTTCCCCCACCCGGGCACAGGATTCAAACCGCAGACTTGCTCACCTGACAGCTAGCGGTGGCGGGCGGTGAGCTGTGAGCAGCGGCGGGCAATAAGGTATTAGCGGCGGGCGATGACGTGTCGGCGGGGGCGGCGGGCGATGAGGTGTCTGTGGCGGGATGATTAAACATTTAATTAAAAATAATAATTGAAACGCAGGGAGGTGGCAGGGGGGAGGGGGTTGGGAACGGCGCTTGCTATTATTGCACATAAAACATGCCCCCATTAAAAAATGCCAAAGGTAACCTGTGACATATTTTGTGGGGGCATCTTCTCTGTACAATAGTACATATCGTCCAATACAGATGTCCAGATTTTATGTTAGTGCAAAATCCATTTTATTGATAGTTGTCGTTCAATCGACAAGCGCTTTTGGGGCCGCGCAGTGTCCGCTTCATCAGGCTCAGAAATGCGGTTATCGATTGAATGACAACTATCAATAAAATGGATTTGCACTAGGGATGTACTGATACCGATACTAATATCGGTGCAGATACTGAGTATTTGGGCGAGTACTTGTCATGAGTACTCCGATATCTTCCCCGATACCGGAACTTCCAGTCAGAGGGAGATGTCCCTTCCTAGCCAATCAGGAAGCCGGGAGGTGGGTCGCAACTTGCTGCTTGGCTTCCTGATTGGCTAGGAAGCCAGTTTCACTTGTTGGTAGGCAGCCTGGCTTCCTAACCAATCAGGAAGACGGACAGTACGTCATGACTCGCGTCTCGGCCTCCTGATCAGTCAGGAAGCCACGCTGCCTAGAAAAAAGTGAAGCTGGCTTCCTAGCCAATCACGAAGAGGGTTGACATCATGACTCGCCGCCCCTGTTCTTGATTGGTCAGGAAGCTAGGTAGCCTCTGGAGCCAGTGTTCTTTCACTTGAACACCGGCTTCACTGGAAATTAGGAAGCCAGGCGAAGGGTCATGATCTGACGCCCGCCTTCGTAATAATTGGGGCAATTGGGGCACCTGTATCAGTACTTGGTATCGGCAAGTAACAAAAAAAAATACCGGTACTCGTACTCTATACCAAAAAAAAATAGTATCGGTTATGAATGCACCAATATATCGGCCGCCAAAACATTTCTTTTTCGGCGGCCGATATATTGGTGCATATACTGATCGCTGAGTGTTTGTACATAATATGTGGACTATATCCTCAATTATGAATGAATGGGAAGAGATCTACATCACCTCCTGTTCATTAATAATTGTAGATATAGTAAACACACTCTGTCCTCATGTTATCAATGAACAGGAACACTCAGTATAGAGGATTCCTGTTCATTGTTAACAGGGGATACAGAAAAAGAGATAGAGGACCCCGTGTCTGCGTGTCCTCAATCTCTTTTTCTATTTTAAGAGGGAAATATCAGGAGTCTGTTTAGACCCCTAATATTTCCCCAAAGCCCCTAAAACTAAAACACTATGGACCTATAACCCCGACAATTTAGACTATATAGAATATACAGTATATACACCGATCAGCCATAACATTATGACCACTGAGAGCTTAAGAGAATAACATTGATTATCTTATTACAGTGGCACCTGGAAGTGGGTGGGATATATTAGGCAACAATTTAACATTTTGTCCCTGAAGTTGATGTGTTGGAAGCAGAAAATTGGGCAAGTGTAAGAATTGGAGCAACTTTGACAAGTCCCAAATTGTAATGGCTAGATGACTCCAAAACTGCAGCTCTTGTGGGATGTTCCTGGTCTGCCAGGACCTATCAAAAGTGGTCCAAGGAAGAAGAATCAGTGACAAGTTCATGGACGACCATGGTTCTGATAGAAAGGTGTCTGAACACACAGTGAATTGCAGTTTGTTGTGTGTGGTGCACCGTAGCCACAGACTGGTCAGAGTACCCATGCTGACTCTTGCCCACCGCCAAAAGCACCTACAATGGGCATGTGAGCATTACAGCTGGACCACAGAGCAATGGAAGAAGGTGGCCTGTTCTGATGAATCATATGTTCTTTGACATCATGTGGATGGCCAGGTGCACACACATAGCTACCTGTGGAGGAGATCGCACCAGGGTGCACTATGCGAAGATAGCAAGCTGGTGGAGGCAGTGTGATGCTTTGGACAATGTTTTACTGGGAAACCTTGGGTCCTGCCATTCATGTGGATATTACTTTGACATGTACCACCTACCTAAACATTGATGCTGACCAAGTACACCCCTACATGGAAACAGTATTCCCTGATAGCATTGGTTTCATTCAACCGCAATAATGTGCCCTCCAACACTGTAAAATAGTTAAAGAATGGCCTGAGGAACACAACAAGTTTGAGGTGGCCTCTAAATTCTCCAGATCTCAATCCAATGGAGCATCTGTGCAATGGGATGGAAACACCAGGCCAATCCATGAAGGCCCCACCTCGCAACTTACAGGACATGAAGAATCTGCTACGGACAGCTTGGTGCCAGATACCCCAGCATACCTTCAGAGATCTAGTTGAGTCCATGCCTCGATGGATCAGGGCAAAAAGGGGACCTGCTCAATATTAGGCGGGTGGTCATAATGTTATGGCTGATCAGTGTATATATACAGTATGTGTTACAGGCTGAACTGGAGATGTATCTATATATCTCTATATATCGTTTTATTCTTAAACTGCATAAGGGGTATATAGGAAAAAAAACCTTATGCAGTTTAAGAATAAAACGGTTCTCGTTCAACTTCATATTGTGGCAATTTGTCATCTTTAGAGTCCTAATATAAAACAGTTTTCTCCTGCAGTCCAGTCCAATAACAGCAACATTGGCAACAAACTGTTTGAGATTAACTCCATTACAAAGACTAGAGGCCACCACCTAAAGTTGGTGGAGAAAAAATTCCAGCACAATGGGCGAAGAGGGTTCTTTACAGTAAGAGCGGTTAAGGTCTGGAACTCACTGCCATCGGCAGTGATTTCAGCCAAGAGTGTAGATTTGTTCAAGAAACGTTTGGACAATTTCTTGAGGGACCGTAATATCCAGGGATACCAGTATCCCTAAGAATGAGATGATGCGTGGACCTATATGGGTTGGACTTGATGGACGTATGTCTTTATTCAACCCCAAATACTATGTAACTATATAACTATGTAATATCTGTTGTCATTCTTCATAACACAGGCCCTATATTCATTTTGTTGCCCCTCAAGATGAGGCCAAACCAGATTTATAAAGTTTTGTAAACCCAAAGAATAATGGTTTCATCTCTTGAATAAAAACCTCTTTTACTGCAGGATCGTATCCTGCTGGCTTTGCAAGCTGCAGCTGGACTTTACATGCTATTGCTGTCTATAAGGAGGTCCACCCAGATCTTTCTCTATCCCTACGTTTCCCAGAGGAGCATCTCCTAAAGAGTATTTTGCATGCATATTTTTAGATCCCAAATTCAAAACCTTACATTTTTCAAAGTGAAGACATGTATTTGCCCACCCCTCAATTTTTAGCAAGGTCTTGTAGTGATTATCCAGGGGTTGGCTGCTGCTACCTCAGGTCTGGCTCTGTCTGGAGTCCCGCCCAGCTCACTGATGTCACTGGTTGCCAGAAGCTGGGCAGGAAGCAAGAGCACCCCACTCAGCTCCTGGCAGCTATTAAAGTCAGTGAGCTGGGTGGGATGCTGACCAGAGCGTCATAGGTTGCTCAGAGCACTTAGCAACCTGGGATGCTCTAGTTCACATGTGTCAAACTCAAGGCCTAGGGGCCGAATCCGGCCCTCCAGGCCATTTCCTATACTTCTACTTTCAGATCTAGGTATCAAGTTATTACTAAAACCAGTGATAATCGAATGCAGAGGCAATTATGATAAAGATTAGATACATTTATATAGTCTTACAGATACCTTTGAGGGCAACCATAATGTTGATGCGGCCTACGATTAAATTGAGTTTGACACCCCTGCTCTAGCTGAAAAGGTCTGTCTGCTGCCCCCCCAACTTGACCTAATGAGATTCCGGCACAGACTGCCTCGTTATAGGGACACACCTGACTCTCGTCCATCTACTGTACCTTTCCAGAGCGATTGCAGCTATTTATCTGTGCCATCACAGACTGAAGTGGATTGAAGGAGCACAGGATGTCAACAGAGGCTAATGTCATCTGATATTTTGGGGAAATCTGCATTCCTAAATATTTGAAGGTATACACATATATGAGAAAGGGAGGAGGAAGTGGACCATACATTAGTCTGTATTATACTCACTATCCTGGTAACAACTGCTTGTTGTTTGTTTCTGGGTTTTTTTAACTTCTGCCAGCACCGCTTTTATGCCTATCTGGCGTCTGTTGTTGCATGTGGAGTCAATCCAAAGGCTGTAAGCTAGAATCGTCACACAGTAAGTTAAAGGAGAACTATGAGGTGAGTGCTTTTCACTTACCTCATAGTTCTAGCCGACCTGTGACAATGAGACTGTCACAGGTCGGCTCAGTAGATCGGGAGATGAGCGAACAGATACCGGGTTCGCTCGCCTCTCGATCCTGTCACGGCTCTCTGCCGTAACAGGGGGAGGGGCTGGATTCCCCTCTCCACGCTCCGATCTGCCATCGCTGACTGGCGGAACGGACGGGGGAGGGGGCGGGTACAGCTGGCTCTGCCTATAGATAGGCAGAGCCAGCTGTCACTCACGCAGCTGGGCGGATCCCGTCATTTAAGTCGGGATCCGCTCCGGCGTCTCAGTATACCGCGAGCTGTAGCTCGCGGTATACTGAGCTTAGGGTAACGGGAGGACGCTAGTTTGTGTCCTCCCGTTACCCTAAGGAGAACTATCGAGAAAAACACTGAACCCATAGTTCTCCTTTAACTCCTTCTCTAAAAAAGCTAGGGATAATACCAGGCACAGATTAGACTTTGTCCCTTGCTGTCAACCCACATTTACCACTGGTATATAATATACCCATACTTGTCCTGTCTGCTCAGACATTTTACCTATGAATTTTGCTTCTATTTAGTCTTCTTATTTCCTATCATTTGGATTGGACGCTCCGGCATTCACTAAATCATTCTCACTGTATGCTAGTCTATTCTACAACCACAACAAATATTTTGAGATGATAAAGGAAATTGTCATTCAAAACCAAGTTCTAATACTTAAGCCAAAGCTACCCAGGTTCACACACATATTTAAGCCATTTATCATTTTTCTATATACATATACAAAGACCTACAGGATAATCCTTATGTCACAGCTACATCTCTAGACCATTTTTCAACACAGCGTAAAAATGCAGTTGTCCCAGCTGTTTGATTTAACCACATCCAAGCATTTTGATTCCCCATTATAGATTAAACATTATGAGAAAATAGGCTATGCCTACAGGAAAAACAGCATTTGCTTCCATTCATTTTATGCTTTTAAAATGTATAAGACATAGATTATAATCATTAAGTATATCAGGGGGGCTCAAAATTTCAAGTCCTGAGCTACTAGCCAGGCCTTAAGAGTTACTAACCACCAGTTGCCCCACCTAACCCTTACCCTGCCCCGGCCTTAACTCCACCCCTAAACACACCCTCTTAAATAATCTTATGATAATTCTTATCTTGTAAATGGCAGATTAGGGATTCCTGCTGCAGGAAAACACAAGTTCCTGACACAGGAATCTCTAATCACACCTGAAATATACTGTAGGTGTGAATGGGGCCTAATATACACATACACTAAAGGTGTCCATACACCTGCCGATTATCGTACGATAATTGCGGGTGATCCCGCGAT